TATGTCACTGTGAATGAGACCCGGAACAACTTGACAGTAAACATTATGAACGATGATTATAAAGGTTAGTATAGTACAACGTATGCACTGTAAAAATGGACTGGTTTAAACTACCAATATTAATAGTTATAACCATTTAAAATTGGTTGGAACTACCAATTATAATTGGTTGATTTGGGTCGTGGGAGCAGGTAAAACTTTAACCAAAAACAAATGGTTGAAACGACCAATATTAATGGTTATAACCATTTCAAATTGGTTGAAACTACCTATGATAATTGGTTAGTTTTTGACCAGCGCAAATGTGAAAAACTATACCAAAATAAAATGCTTATAATAACCAATTGTTAATGGTATACTAATAAATACCCATTTTTATTGGTTAATATAACCATTTCACTAAATTAGTTGGAATTACCAATGATAATTGGTTAGTTTTTGACCAGTATTAAAGTAACCAACTGATAATGGTATACTTATTGCAAAGATCTGTACTTTATTTTTAGTTGAGCTATTCAGACACGAGGCTTAACAAGTATATCCCGGATGTGGACACAGGGAGCCCACATCATTACACTTATAAATACCCATTCTTATTGGTTGATTTAACCAATGATGAAATGGTTGATATTTTCACGGCAAGTCCAACAGGTCAAAAGAACCAAAAGAAATTGGTTAAAAAACATATTTTTTGACTTATTTCAAATAAATTTAGATTATTTCATAATCATGATTTGTTAGATCATAGTTCTTAGTCAGCGGTCGGAGGTGACTCTGTAAAGAATACATTGGATGGAAACTCCATTGGCTTCACAGGTTGAATAAGTTCATTGGTAATTTTCATGTTCAAAAACCAAATGACTTATCATGAGAGATGTTCTAAATATGATGGCGTTTAGCGTTTTCCTGCTTTATGTCAACAGTGAAGCATTGTAAATATTCTCCTGATTCGCTCTGAAAAGAAACTCGCGGRAATTATCGTGAAACTTGGACTTTTGAAAGTTGATCTGTTTACCTTCTGCTGTACTAATGTCAACAGGGAGCATTTCTTGGGTTCTGATTCGTCGTTCTTGTGATTAACCAGGAATCAAAACCACGATAGCAAACAATCTCGGTCTCTTTCTTTTCAARTCTCGGACGAGTTAACAGCAAGAGTTTAGGAAATGTTTGTTTTCAATATAACCGTTTCTAAATAGGTTAAATCAAATGCTAACTACAGAAGATGTTCTAGAGTACTAGTTTCTTAGAGGATCGAACCTCAAGTCTTCAGTGACGCATCAAAACTAAGGTAAATAACGTTAGAACCATTCCTGATTAGTGAATACAATGTATATCAGAACAAGCCAAGTGTTATTCATGGTCTCCGGATCATTGATGTTCATGATTCAAAAGAGGTTAAACTGTTCAATTTTGCTACAGGAAACCAAGTTGACGGAGAGAACCTCGTTGGCTTCGAGATGCTTGACATCAACGAAATGGCCCTCCATGATGATTCCGGTTCTCAAGATGCAAAAGAAGTTCATTTGTGTATGGCCTGAGCCAAGTCACAGACAAGGTAATTAGCATATATTATAGTGTTAATACTTTAGAATAACGTCGCTTACTTCATCTCGAAAAATGCCTTGGCAATATTGCATATTATATTGCATATCATCGCGAATGTTTCGGACCGATCTGAGTGGTCTTTTCCGCGCAATTTGGGGCAGTACACCTACTGAAAATGTTAATTGTTTAGAAACAATACACTTAAGGGCTTCTAGAATATTTTTTCATCACGACCTTACTGGGTCTAAAGTTCTGGATAAAACTGGCTGGGAAACATTATTTATCACGTGCAAAGTAGGCTTGATGCAGTTAGCATATAAAATATTCAACGGAACAGTCCCAGATTGTATGAACAATTTACAATATATTTTATTCATCCATTACCAGGACCAAATAAGCCTGCAAACTCCACTAAAATCAAAACACCGAAGGAGTTCAAGTCAAGCGTTAAGGTGGCACAAGAGAACATTTTAAGCTTGTCCAAGATACCATACTATTAAATGGTTTTCAAATATTTACCATATCAGAGACCTGGGCTGATTTATCTGTCAGCAATGCATGCCTCGAAATCCCAGGTTATCAATTATTCAGACAGGATCGTGGACCACAGAAATCCGGACGTGGGCTATGCACTTGCGTACTGAACGATCTCAAAGCAACTGTGTTTTGAAAGATCTTACTATGGTTTCTGAAGATGGCTTTCAACAACAATGGCTAAAAATACAGTGCAGAAGTTTCAAATCCTTTTTGGACCTAGCACATCAATCAACTGACTTRAATCGCCTTAGCTAAATGCCTGGTTGACTCATCGCTGCTAAACCTCGACACTATATTACTTGGAGACTTAAATTGAAAATTAAGTCTAAATTGTTGAAAGATTTCATCTTAACTTTTAACTTGTGTGAAATGGTTGAAAAACCAACAGAGTGACTGAGGCTTCACAATCTCTAATTGATGTAATTATGACTACAGATACATCTATGGTGTGCGTCTGTGATGTATTAATCAGTTTTATCAGTGATGATGTTTTATGAGTCCGGTGAGTCGTGAGTCGTGAGTCGTGAGTCGTGAGTCGTGAGTCGTGAGTCGTGAGTCGTGAGTCGAATAAAATAAATTATAATATCTCTTGTGAAAATTATCAAAAATGGTACCGCTATTGAAGTTATAGCGGCAATGGACTGCTTCTGTCTCTTCCAGTATTTCATGTGTCTAGCTTTATTGTCTAGCCAACTGAACACTAACACAGTAAACCAAAAACATCAGATKAAARTAATCCAGCCAAAAATTTTAATATTAGATTCTCTGCTGATTTGCTGCATGTATTTTTAAACTTACCCTTGAACTGAAATCCATTTCTTACTATTGAATTGTTTCAAAACACCAACCAACTTAGACTTTTCGAAATTTCGAAATTTCGAACCATCCACTGGACTTGTACTCCAACTCGACTCTAATGTTGTTCAAATTTGAACCGATAATCGATATTTCATGCACCGAAAATTGAACTACGATATCTCTACTACTAACAGGTAACCAAACTCAATAGGTTTTGAGATAATACCTGTTTTTATTAGAACATCTCACTGCAAAGCTGCACGAATACTCGCCGATTGGTTTATTTGCTTCAGTCTATCCCCACACTTTAGCCCTGCTATAGATGGTGGCCACTGAATCCTTCTATACAAACGGTAGCGATATTCTATCCCAGATCGTTTGGTGGTATTCCAACAACTAGAATATAAAATATYATTAATTTTCCTATTTGACTCATGACTCAGTGACTCATGCGACTCATTCGAACGTCTTTCTCGATGGTGATGATTTCTGCAATGATCTTGCCTTGGTTCCATTCCATATGGTTTCCTTTTTCGATGATTTTGATGACCAAGTTGATGCCTTTAACATGTTGTTTACAGATATCTTAAATCAGCATGCTCCTGTGAAAAGGATGAAACTAAAAGCCAGACCCAATCCATTTGTGACAGCTGAAATTCGACATTTGATGAATACTCGTGACCGGTGGCATAAGAGTGCTATAATAATAATAATAATAATAATAATAATAATAATAATAAT